ATATTGCAATAATGCCAGCGTTACTAGGGCTCTAGTGCCACTCTTATGTCAAAGCAGAATTATAGATGCTGAATCGCATTGGGAGGGTTTTTTTTAGTGGAGCAACACTGGCAAGCAACACTTTCTAATTTTCTGGTTTATTTTTAGGTTGGTTTTATGTTTGACTGTCTCAGGGAGTCAAGCTGGGTTTTGGGGAAATGATTTTCTGCTACTCACACCCTTTGAATGATAAAGGTGTTGCAGTGGTGACAAGGTCTCTTTTTTTTTTTTTTTTTTTTTTTGTAAACAGTACTTATGTGGGGCACTTAGTTCCCCCCTGGGATGTTTACATTTCTTCACATGCTGTTGGCTTTAAAGGTTCTTGATCCTAATGTAAGACTAGTGACTCAAAGTCACTTATACCTTACTAAGGTGTAAGATTAGTGATTCAGTGTCGTGTGAGAGTAAGACGTCAGGCAGAAAAGCTAGATACCATTCTGATTCTCCTGGGAAACTTAGGGTAAATCACTTGCTGCAGTCAGACCCCAGCTCTGGGGTGAAGCTTAAATCATCACCTCTCAGTGGCTCTTCTGTCCTCTGCGGAAGGTCCTGTCTGTGCTGTGACTTTTCTTGTTTACTGCTGCTTTTCAGAGCTGGGAAGTTTCAAATGAGGAATAACGTCTTATCCTTGACCAAATTTATTTTGCTAAAATATCTTACTGCCTGCCAAACAAGAGATTCTTGTGTCAAAGTAGATAAATTTCTTGGTTTTTCTCATAGAGTTAAAACCTGTTACTGAGTTTAAACGAAAACAGGTCTTTGATCTCACTTTGCAGAGCTTCCTTGAAGTTAGGGACTGAATTTGAGTGGTGGTTACAAATTTTTCTTAAGCCCTCAGAAAGGAGGTGAGGGGAGTGCCTGATGCCCAGGAGCTGGGGGTTTGTGCTGTGCCAGGTGAGCCACGACACCTGGAACGAGGAAGCCAAATGCTCACTGCCCCTGCCTGCCCACAGCAAACTCCCCAATAGCAGCCAGGATTGGAACAGTAGTCTCCAAATACACTTGTACTTTTTTGTGCTTTAGCGTATTTGCTGTTCATGGAGTTCCATGGGCAGAGGTGAGGAATTTTATTTTTTCTTTTTTCCTTCTATCTGCTCTTCCCTGATTAAGTGTTTTAAGGTAAGAGGGGCTTTTTTTCTGTGAAACTAGCTATGGAAACTGCTATATGACATGAGTGTTTTCTCTATCCTCTGAAGGGTATGGAGTGTTTTGTGTATGGGCCTCCAGTGTGTGTTTGCAGAGCACTGAGCTGGCATAAACAGCCTGCTCATTCTGGCTGTTCAGGGTGTCCCTAGGTGCAAGTCTCTATAAAATGAAGTTCAGGGTTTCTTAAAGTATTTTAAGCCCTTCACTTCCTTTCAGGAAAGGTCGGGGGGTGTAGGGGAATACTGGAAGGTTCTCGGTAATGCTAGTTAAGAGCTGCTTTAAGGTCAGCTGTTTGCTGTACCTGGGTTGTTGGTTTATTTTTATAATCTTAAGCCTGAGAGAAGTTTTGAAGCAATGACTGTATTGCAGAGCCAACCCCATACAAGAGGGAATTTGCATCCCTGGCCTGGCAAGACTTTTCCAGGAAGGCTGGTTGCTATAAAGGAACAAGCATCTTTAAAAGAATTAACAAAATGATATCAGTTCTATTAAATTACAGAGCAGCCAAGAGCAGTATTTGCATGAGCAGATGGGTTGGCAAACCTGAGTTTGCCTTGGCAGTGGGGAGCTGCTTCAGCATTAAAAAGTTTACTTGTAAGTTCACTGCTAACCATTGCAGGAGCCGTTGGTTGCTTGATATCTGAGCAAGACTCAGCAAAGGTGAAACAACCCCAAGACTAGACTGAAAAGGGACAGTAAAATTATTTTTACCATTAGTATGTCTCTGCAGATGTCAAAAGAGGGTGTTGCTTGGGTAAGAAAAGCATGTGCCGCAGAGCGAGGTGAAGGCGGCGGAGCGGGTTGCACAGCAAGGGCTGTGTGTCCCCAGCAGCCGCAGTGCCCGTGTGCTGAGTCGCTCGACGCGGGCGCCCGGGGCACGGGAGCTCGAGTGTGACAGTGACACAGCAGCGCGTGATGCCTCTGCTCCCGCTGCCTCTGCTCCCCTGAGCCGCTCGGAGCAAGTGGCTTGTCTGCGAGGAGAGGCGCTCTGTTCCCAGCTCCACCGCCGAAGGACCTGGTGCAGGCAGCTAGCTGAATTTTAGTGGCAAGCAGAAAGGAGGTTTCCCGTGCGACTCTGTGCCAAGAGATGTTTGCACAAAGTACTCTTGAGTTTTAAACACGCATTTTGCACTAAAGGAGAGGTTTGCAAAGCTTTCTAGTACCTGTGACCATGCCAAGTGTCACGCAGTCAGGATGGGAGTGAATTGCCCTGCTGTGTCCTGCCCTGGATGGGAAATGTTGTTGCTGGGCCTTTCTCAAGTGCTGTTTGGGTACCAACACTGAGGGGTTGCTGATCAGCTTGCAGTGTGTCTTTGCCAAGGCTCGCAGGAGCCTTTAATCGGGTGGGGGAAAGAAAGCAGCCAGAACAAAAGGGAGTTTTTTTCCATGCACTTTACACAGGGAAGAGCAGGAGAAGAAGGCTTGCACAGAGATATGTTATGTGTTCAAGCTCAAAAATCAGTCTAGCTCTGGTTCCAGTGTACTCTCCAAGGTGCATGTTCTGAAGAAACTGTAATCAAGAATTAAAGAGTCTATCTTCTGAGTTTTGGCCTGCAGTTGTGTTTGGATTTGTGTGTTGTGTTTTTCTGTTTGCTTATTTCTGCCCTCCCTCCCTGCCCCCACACACACACCCTGTGCTATTAGCAGGATCTGTGAGTGGGAATCTTAAAACGAACCAAGTGCCAGGTGATGACGTAGTAAAACTTACATGCAAGAGGAGGAGCTTTTACACTTTATTTGTGTAGTAAAGTGAAGTATGCTGAAGTTCCAAACAGTATTAACAAGTGAAGTAATTCATTTCCAGATAGGTAAAGTGTCCTTTCCTTGCTAATGATGAAATTTCTTGAGCAGAAAGATGAGTTGCCTGCTCTTTGGCCTGAGGTCTGGGGCCTGTTAATTGAGCAAACAAGAATCCCCATTTAAAATCTTAGTATTTAGAAAGAACAGTGTGCCTTGCGTTTTTACAAACCAAATACTCCTATTTCAGTGTTTGCATTTTTTTTTTCTTGTCTGTTTTCTGGCATATCTTTATTTCTTTCAATTGCGTGCAAAGAAGCACATATCCAAGACATGGCAAACTACTCACCATCTTTGATACTTGTTAGAGAGAGTGGAGTTGAAGAGTCTTAAAATCAATGTTATATGACTTGTTTTATTTTTTTTTTTAAACAAGTATAAGTCCCTAGAAATATCTTGTGAATTCTTTGTGCTTTGCTAATAAGATTTTTGTATCTCTCACCTCATACCGGACAGGACTGTGTGTGTGTAGACACATATTTTAAGTGTTCTACTGTGCATTTTATTTGTTCTTTTTCGCTTATCTCTACAAGGAGGTGTGGAGATAAAAGGTAGCTTTCCCGGCAATGGTAGTTTCAATAGCTGTCCATAGTAATGAAACTGTCTTCTTTCCATCACTTTGTTGCAGATTATCCTTTCTTACGTGTTTTCTGGTAGCCCTTCAATGTTAGGACATACTTGCTTCCAAGTGTTTCCAGAGCCACAGCATTTAGTTGAGTTGAGCATTTAGTTGAATGCTTTGACTAACAAGATAAGAACAAGCCATTTTTTTTCCTTAGGGATGACACTTAAAAACAAAAAAACCAAAAACAAACAAAAAAGCAGTAGCCATAAAAGGTTGTACAGAGGTGTCTTTTGAAGATGGGAGAAATAAAGCTTAGTTTTGAAGCTAATAACGAATTAAGTGCCTTGTTGGTAAAACATCCCTCAAAGCTCAACTAGAAACTCTTTGCTGCTTGCCTTTGCAAGAGGGTGCAACTGTGAACAGGAGTTGCATGAAATGATGGCGCTCTACAGAGTCTCTGTTTTTGTGTGGATTGCTGTTTTCAAATACTTGTGAATTGCACAAATTGTAACTTGAATTTTTTCTTTCTGCTTAGAATTGAGATTTTGTTTGGGTTGTTTCAGACCAAGATTTGATAACAGGCTGCAGTTCTGCATAGAAAATATTTTTATCTGGCTGAACAGGTCATAGTGAGTGCTGACTCTTCAGTGTGAAAGCTAAGCCACAGGGAGAGTGAAACTACTACATTTGATACATTTGACTTATGAAGTATATTTTGTTTCCTGATTTAGAGAAAAAAAAATATGTTTGAGTTAACCTGTTCAACCAGCAAAACCTTTTGCTAATGTCACCAGGTGTCAGGAAGTAAATGAATTTTCACTATTGAATTTCCATTCTTTTTGTATCATTTCATCCCTCCATTAAGTTTACTCTTTTATATTTCTTGTTACATGTAGTTACGGTGTTACGGTACTTCTACTCCTTGAAAATATGTAATATTTCTTTTTTACATTTTGATTCAAAATGGTTAAAAACCTGACCAGTCATAAATCCTTCAAGGTCCTTTTCTGTTGTAGTGCTTCCATGCAAAATTTTTCAACCTTTTAATGGATGCTATTAAAATTGTTTTAGTGACATCATCATAGCATCATTTAAAGTTTTTTGGGGGAGGCTCATGTCTAGTTTAATAGTTCTGCTTGTAAAGAAGAAAACATGGAAAAGCTAATGAATCTCATCCTAGAACTTGAGGATTATGGATAACTTGCCTTTTCTTTGTTTGCTTGTTCGCTTGTTTTAAGCTGCATAACAAAAGAAAAGGAGTTTTAAGTGGCTTTTTCAGTGCCAGAGAACAGCTTGAATTAAAGCAAGTCATGGCTCGGTGCTCTATTTTAATCTCGGAACAGCACTCCTCCTTCAGGAATATCAGTGATATTTACATAGCAGAATGGATTTCAGATGTGTTTTTTCTAATGGAGGATGCTAACTTTATTGCTTCTGTTTTCTTCTAGGTTATGTTTCACACTATGTGCTGACTGTCTGTACTTACAGAAGATATTTAAAAGCAAACAGACTTTTTTTTTTTTCCAAAAAAAAATTGATTCCAGTGGAATCTGTGCTTTAAATTTTTGTCCTGTCAATTAACTCCTGAAGCAATGCCTGTACAAGCTCCACAGTGGACGGATTTTCTGTCCTGCCCAATTTGCACACAGACGTTCGACGAAACGATCCGGAAGCCCATCAGCTTGGGTTGCGGCCACACTGTCTGCAAGATGTGCCTCAACAAGCTCCATCGCAAGGCATGCCCTTTTGACCAGACCACTATCAATACAGACATTGAACTCCTTCCTGTGAATTCAGCCTTGCTGCAACTTGTGGGTGCTCAGGTAGCAGTGCTTATTTATTTTCTTATTTATTATTTTTATGTTGTTTTCCTTTCATTTGGGGGGGGGCGGAGGGGGAGGCACATGAATAAAGCATGCAGCTCTGCGAGGATGAACATCTGCCTTTCTGTACACAAACTTTCCAAGTTGCACATTTGCGATCTTTGGCACGCTGTAACAGAGTGACTTGAATGGCAGTTAAAGCTATCTTCTGCCTTTGATTTTGATGTTTTTTGCACATTATACCTAATCTAGTGCAGCTGTGACTTACCACCAGAACAGAGTGATTCTGTTCCCCCTGTTCTTCTGTTGAAGATGAACTGGATCAGTTATCTCATGGAAAGCCATCCTTGTGGTGTGCTAGGTCGCTCACATTGTCTGATTCAGCTTGCAGACATGTCATGCAGTGCCAGGGAAATGAGAGAGGGAAAGGGAAGGTGATGGACCCTTCTGATAGCAGTCCCTGTACTAGTTTGTCTAACTTGAACTGTGTTATGGGAGTGTAATTTTATGAGATGCCCTATGTTAACTTAAACCCAATACAGCTGAGAGAGGAGAGCCTGCCTAAGGTCAGCTGAATCAGGCATCTGGTTCGGGTGACTACTGCAATGGTACCAGCCTGAGGAAAGGGACAGGAACGTGTGGCCGTGGGAAGCAGGATCACCCTGTTCGGCAGCGGCACAGACTTAAGCTGGCGTAAGCTGATTGTGAAGCCACAAGGTTAGGCCACTGGCAGCTTCCTGTGAGCTGGACCTTTAAAGGCTGCACAGGGAGTTGGGCAGAGGATGGAAGAATGTCTAATTTACGGGTGAGAAAGAAACACGTGGGATGGATGCAAGTAGCTTAGAGGGGTGTTAGATTTCCCATTTTTTTTACTTCCTGGTCTAGACTCAGATGAGTTGAAGAGGCAGCGTAAAATTCAGGAAGATGGATATTTTGGTTTTGAGCTATGTTTGTAGAGAACCTATAAAAGGCAACAAAAGAAAGAATATCTAATCAAAAGACTAAAAGCAGCTAAGTTAGACCTAAATGTGTTTCTGCCACTCTTTCGAGCCAGATATGGTTTTGTTGTCCTCTTACTATGTATTGATCTAGAAGTTGTATCAAAGATGAAAAAGTTCTGTTTCTGGTTGTAGTAGTGATGCATCCAACCTATGGGGAGAAGGTAATTCAACTCCATGTTTCCATGTGTCTAAAGTGTGTGTTTCTTACTTGCTCCGTTTTATCTTCTTCCTTTTACTCTGGAGTTTCTACGGTAGTTCTAGTGTATCCGAATACCTGCATTTGTGATGTGGGTAAATGTCAGTCCTCCTGAGGATTTTTTTTTTTTTTTTTTAGTTTGTGTGTATTTGCTACACTTTGAAAGAAGCTGTCCTGTAGCTCTAACTTGGTCTTTGCCTAAATTTAAATATCCACAAAACCAAGATCCTTTGCAATGACATGGAAAATCAGCCTGCCCTGCTGCATGTGATCGAAGACTTTATTCTAGCTTTGCTGGTAGGCCAGCCAGTTCCACTTTTTTGTTTAGTTTCAGGAGGGTGTGCATATCTTGAACCATCTCTGATCTTTTGAAAACCTCCATACACTGCATGAAGACATTTGTTTATTTTTTTAATGTTGAATTCCAAAAAACAGGTTTAATCTTAGAAGGTAAGCAGTACAACATGAAGCTTTTGTCTGTGCAGGAGAGAAGTTTGTTTTCTTTCCTCTGGGGGGCCTTTGGAGAAGTTCACACATAGCATTCTGGGGGGCATTGGCTGTGCCGTTCATTATATGTACATTCAGCAGAGTGAGCACAAGTGCCAAAGACTTTATTAGATGTAGCAGTCATAGAAAACCTTGAAAATCTTCAGGCAAAGAAGAAATCCCTTAAGCCAATTTCTAATGGAATGAGCTCTTGAATTTCAGCTATTCAAGCTCAATGTATTACTCATTATATTTAACTCTCTTAAACATCCACCAGCCCTGTGTTTTGAAGGTGCTTAGTAATGGATTTGTCATCAAATCTCTTCCCTCCTGGTTTCTTCCACGTGCAAGACATCAGTGTGCACGTTCCTAACAGGTGACACCGAATGCCAGGGATACCTGCGGTTGCTTTAATTTCTGTCTGTCCCCTCCTGGATACCATAAATGCAGTGGGAGGCGTTTGACAAGGCACCCATGTATGCTGAGAGTTTGGGTGGAGCCCAGCCAGCTTGTGGTACCTTCAGAAGAGGAAGGTGGCTACAGTAGAGCTTACATTACCAGAACATTTGCTAGAGCTATTTTGTAGCCATTAATGAAACTAGGGGCCTCTGAGGAGGAATTTTCTGCAAAAAAACATTTGACAGACTTTTGAGGAATTGGAAGGCTGTGGGCGTTGCTTTTTGGCAGGAAGAAATCCTCTGTTTGTAGGAGGAAGAAATGGTGGGGGGTGTGTCTCAAACTGGATGGAAGGGGTTTTGCCCTGCTGAGCATGTTTCTGTTCTGCCCAGTTAAGCGCCTGCTGCTAATTAGCAGTGATGCAAGCTGACATCCTCCATCAAATTGCGCTTAAATGACTAATTCAGAAGCTGGGCTTGGTGTGAGCATTTGTTTCTGGTCTCCCCCCTCCTTGTGCCATCACAACCTGCCTCTTTCCACAGCTGCAAGAGTCACTCTGAAGGGTGTCACTCCGGTGCAAGGATGCCCAGGCTCAACACTGAGGCAGGGGTGTGCAAATCCATGTTTAAGCTTTTTTTTTTTTTTTTTTTTTTTTTTTTTTTTTTTTTTAAAAAAAAAAAGTCAGGTTGCACTGTTGCTCTTGTTGTGGTCTCCTTTGGGAGACATTTATTGTGGCACGTAAGTGCAGTTTGCAGTAAGAAGGGTGGGGTGCCTGGGAAAAGGGGATGTGGAGCGTGGATGGAAATAACGAACTCATTCGGCAGGGCGGCCTCTTTGTGCTCTGCAAGAAGCCTTGTCAACAGCCTGGACTGTGGGGACCTCCAGCCTCTCGGAAGGAGGTTTTGCAATGGGGAAGTGAAAATGCCTTGGGCTTGAATGATCTCTCTATGATTCTAAAGCAATTCCTTGACAGAGCCAAAAGAAAATTTGTCTCTCCTGTGACTTTGGAGTCGTATGGTCTACCTCTTTGGGTTTTTTTTACTCTTGGTAAATGTTGTTCAATTGTTCTAATTCTAAAATGGTGAAACATTTTGGAACAGCATATGAAAGCACCACCAGAAGGGCAAGCCCTTTGCAAGGTTTGCTGTGCGATGTGCTGCAGCTCTGGTTGTATAAGGTGTGCAGGGAGAAGCATGTTTGCTCTTGCCAAGGATTCCTGGAAAGCACAAAATAACTGTCTTGAGCTCTAGTGCCTTGTCCTACACCTGTGCCAGCTGAAGGTGAAAGCTGAACTCAAATCTCTTCCAGCCTTGGCTTTACAAGAAGTTGTACAAGCCTTTGACTTTTATGCTGAAGTTTCTTTTGTGAAGAGAAGTGGGAGCAGTGCACAGATCTACAGTGTTGCATGTGGTGAGATCTGTCCAACAGTTTCATTAGACCTTGTGAGTTTTTGTGCACCAGACTTTTTTTCTGGTGGCAGAGGAAGCTCCCTAGGGTTGCCCAGCCAACCCTTATGTCTGGCTGGTCAAGTTGTGCTGTGTCTGGCATTCCAATGTGCTGCTGTGGCCTCCTGCAAAACCTGCTTCACTTTGAGGTAGAAACCTGGTGCTGAACGCTGGGCTTCCTGTCCCCCTTATCTATTCCAAGCAGGCTTTGCTGAATGCTGCCATGCTCAAGTTGTGTTCTCAGTTGTCATCCTCGTAAGCTTTGCGTGCTGTAGGGGCAGATAGAAATGAGCCTGAGGTGCGTTACAGCAGTGACCGGGCAGGGATGTGCAACACCAGCCTCACACTCATGTGAGATGTGAGTGCTGTTGGACTGCAGAGCCCGTTCTGCTTGTGCAGCTCCCAGCAGAGGCAGAGTACAGTATGAACATGGCAGGGGCTGCAAAAGGGGCAGGGAGCTTTCTGTTTGCATTGAAAGCGAATACTGGAGGTGTTCTTGTTTCTGTTTCCCAAATCCTGGGAAACCAGCCCTGCTGGAACTGTTCCTGATTACAAATGTGTTCACTGCACAGAGCTATTGAATTTTGGGCTGTTGTTTTTATGCCTTACTGTGCATCCTGCTTTCACAAGCGTTGTCAAATGTGTTGGTTGCTTGGTCCAAACCTCTGCTACCAGCCTGTGTTTAAAGTGCTCTGCGGGCTTCATTTTCCTTTTTTTCTTTTCTGTCAGAGTCTGGAAAGAGTTGTTCTGCGCTCAGTTGTGGAAGTTTTTCTGTTTGCTCCTGCTCATCCATACGTATTTGAAGTCAGAGCTGTGCTAAGGGACTGGTTATATAAACTCCCTATTTATTTATTTACTAAACTAGAGCATCTTGTAATTACTGGGATTTGTCAAACAAGTACTATGTACTGCATTTATTTTTCATCAAGCACAGCAGGCAATAAGATAGAAGGCAAAGCATCTTTGACAGAGAAGGTGACCCAACTTTGTTTTCATTTGCTTGTAAATTCTGCAAGCCTAAATGACTTCTAGAGTATGTACGTATTTCAGTAACTGCAGACTACGGTGTAGGGTGTGTGGTGTGTGTGACTGTGTGTCCGCCCCCCCCTCCCGAGTCTACGGGGAGGAGGAGAAAGGAAAGCTTTAAAGTACGGATATAAAATAATATTCCTTTCTTGTGAATTGCTTGAAAATACCCTTGAATATGAAACCCATGCAAAGGACTGCCATGTAGTAGATTGCTCGAAATAAACAAAGTTCAGGCTTTAATGGAAATGTCATCAGGCTGTAGCAGGAACACTTATTTTAACACTCTCTTCAGCAATTTCACTTCTCAGTGCTATGAATGAATGCATAGAACATAGCAAAAATGTATACCTTTGTTAAGCTAGATATGTTCTTGGCATACACATTTGTATATCTAGCCCTTTTATTCATTGATGCAATTGTCAAGCTCTTCCTTTATTTGGCTGCATCCTATGCGGGCAGGAAAAAAAATGCTGAAGCCCTCGGTGGGGTCCCTGTAAGCAGCTCCTCGGGACTGGCAGGATGCCCTTGCCCCTGGGGTAGTGCTTGGTTTGGAAATATGAGAGTTACAGTCTGGGACTTGTGTTCACTTAGGGAGAATATCCTAAAAACTTGTGTTTAGCTTCTTGAGAAATTCCAGTCTTTTACTATTGTATATTTTTGAGTTGATTACTGAACAGTGACATTTGTGAACATTAGCACAGTGCTGTGCTGGAGCCCCGAATTTGTTTAACACATTAAGAATTAAACTGGGGGGGGGGGGGGGGGGGGGGGAATTAAAGCTTAGGGGGAAAGAGACAAGTCCAATATCTCTTTGAAAGTTCTTGGTAAATGTCTGGATGAAGAAATAAATGTTGCAGCCAAAACATTAGAAAAACAAAGCACACTAGCCCAAGCACAATGCTTGCAGATGTGTGCATAGGCACTGTGTTAGATAATGTCATTTTGCAGCTCATTTAATTGGGTCTCTTCAGAATATGCTGCAACTTTCCTTCTCCTCCCTTCCTAAACTATATAGTTCTGAACACTTACCCCTAGATATTTTTAGTGATGCCAGGTCCCAGATATGAATCTGTACCCTCTTGCAAACCAGAGTTACCTGAATAATTCTGGGTTTTGGCTGGCCTGCTTTAGCAGTGTCTCAGTGCGGTTGCTGCTTCAAAGGAAGGTTATAATTATAAAAAATGTCATGGTTCTTGTGCTACTGTATGCTCTTGTGGAATAAGCATTCTGGCTTCTTATCAGCCACCTAAAAAGGAGTCTGATACCATGGCACATAAGGTAAATTGAAGCTTAAGGATGTGGTGTTTGTTTTTAAAACTTGACTTCAACTGATATTTGCTGGGGCTGAGGGGGAAGTGGAGTGGAAGCCATTTGTTCATTAAAATTGGTACTTAGGTATTGCTCACTAATGCTGAAAAATTGTAGAGAAGGGGAATGAAACAGGAAATGCTTGATAGTAATAAAATGAGTGCGTGCTTGTAAGCAAGACTGCTGCTTGTGTGTGCACATTCATCACGGATGTCTGTGTCGCCTTTCCAGGTTCCAGAGCAGCAGCCAATTACTTTATGTAGTGGAGCTGAAGATACCAAGCATTATGAGGAGGGCAAGAAATGTGTGGAAGAATTGGCATTGTACCTCAAACCACTCAGCAGTGCCAGAGGTAATTCCTATATTTCATTTGAAAATGAAAGCTGCAAACAAATAAGTTGCATAACAAACTATTCAGATGATTACTGGTAGAGTCTGGAAAGATTGAGCTAGACCTAGTTTTAAAATAGCAAACTGGAATCACCTTTTGAGCATTAAGGTTATGTTTCCACTTGGGGAAAAGATTTCTAAAAGTGTTATGTCAAAATAATACCGAGAAAAGGCAGAGACTTTACCGTAGTGAGTTGAGGTAAGTTTACTAAGTTGGACTGACCTCTGCTTACTAAGTAAATGCTCTTATTTCTTGTGTTCTGCTTTACTTAAGTTACTCTAAAAATGCAGCATTGTTGCAGTGGAGGAATAAAATAAAGGAAGTACGTGTTGAATGTAGGACACATGAGAAATAAGTTATTCTATTTACACATGAGAAATAAATTATTCTATTTACACATGAGAAATAAGTTATTCTATTTATACAAAAGCTTACAGAATGACTGAGTCCATTTGAACAATATTAGTTGGCAAAAGTTCACCATGTTCAAGTGTGTAGTGTGTGTCTATTACAAATGCTGGATGTGGAAAATCAATAATCAATTCTTTCTAGATGCAGAAGCGAATGAAGCACCACAGGTGAATGCTGTGGGGATCGGCTTTGAAAAATGGAGATAGAAAATTTTAATGTGTGTGTATATATGTGTACACACACATATATAATATCAACATGCGTATATGTATACATATACACAAAAATCACAAAGCGTTTAGTATGATATAACATTATGTCTAAATAATATATATATAACGCTATATAATATTTGGGTTTATACATATAATAGTAAGTGTTTTATGAAAATAGGTGGTAGGGATTAAATGATCCCTGCAAGTCTCAAATAAGGGGAAGTATGCAGTATGAATTTACAAGAGGTTTCTTAGAGAGTCACATCAAGTAATCACAAAGCATAAATCTGGGGGATAGCAGACCCCACAGAACTGTTTGCTTTTAATGCTGAGTAAAACAAACTGATAAAAATGAATTTCTGATGTGCCTGGCTGTAGCACTCTGTTTAACAGAGTCAATATGATGAGAACTGGGTTTGTAGTGTTGTAGTACAGCAGCCGAAGGCTGGCACCAAAGGATATGAAGTGGCAGCTTTCTGCTTCATTTTGTTTTGCAGGTGTGGGTCTTAACAGTACTACTCAGAGTGTGCTAAGTCGTCCCATGCAAAGGAAGCTTGTGACATTAGTTCATTGCCAACTGGTTGAGGAAGAGGGACGCATCCGAGCCATGCGTGCAGCACGGTCGCTTGGTGAAAGAACCGTTACAGAGCTCATCCTGCAGCACCAGAACCCGCAGCAGCTCTCTTCCAACCTCTGGGCTGCCGTGAGAGCCAGAGGCTGCCAGTTCCTTGGGCCAGGTATGTAACATGCAAATCAATCCTACTGCTGTATTAGAAGCAATTTAGGATTGAGGAGGGTGGAGAAATAAGCATCCATGTGACAGAAATTGCCTGAGTGATTTTGTTGGGCAATGGTTTAACTTCTTACCATAGGTCTTCAGATTAATGATGTATCTGTTGTGCTGCTGTTATGGACTTTCTCATGTTTTTGCTGCTTTTGCAAGACATCCGTGAAGGTCTAATTACTCATTGGCTTATTGTTATTGTGAGAAGCTAAAATTGAAAGTAGTTTGTCTCTTTGTCTCTCCTCAAGGAAGTAAAACCCTTCTGGGAAAAAGAGCTACTAGAAGTAACTGGACATGACCCTCTCCAGATTGCTAGAGAAATAAACACAAGCAGTTGTGGGGGTAGTGAGGGGAGAAATTTGTTAAATTTTTGTGTCTGTTTTTTAAAGTTACATCCTTAGAAGTCAGGAAGGGTGTATGTCTAAAGATGACATAATCATAAATTTAAATTGTATTTTACATAATGTTGAAACAATCTATTTTCCTGAAAAAAATGTAATGATGTCCTGTTACTGAACCTGCAGTGCTTACTTGTTGAGCAACAACAAAAAATATTCTTACTTGAAGTATGCAGTTAGTTCCTTAAAATAGGGGAGTGTTTTGGAGTGGTATGTGGGTGTTTGGGGTGGCTTTTGTTTGTTTGTTGTTTTTCTCCTCCATTGAAGTAAATGAAAACTAGCAGTAATGCCCTGTGCCAACTCTTGCACCACTAAGAAGGACAGGAGAGGCTTGTTTTCCAGCTGTGAAAACCATCTGGTGCTAGAGCACATAACTTATTTGATTCTGTCTGCGTGGGAACTGCCTGCTGTGTCTTTCCATAGAGCGTCAGCCTGCCCTCCTGGGGAAGGGTGTGGAGCTTAGATTCGCCCCCCCCCCTTCTGTCTTCTTTGGTCTTTTCAGTCTTTGGGTGTCCAAGTGATGAAACTTCTTTGCTCCTTGTCTATACATCTCTCTAGATTATCAGTATAAGTGCTTTCAGTGTTATTTATTTTCCCAGTAGCAGTCTGGGGTGGTACCCTTCACTTCTTCCCCTCCCTTTTCACTTGGCTCTGCTTCTCATTTATATACTTATGTTTGCCATTTCATTATGTCTTTTTTGCCTACAGCTTGCAGCTGATGTCCCATGTTTATCTATGTGGAATGGAACACAAGAAAAAAGCGGGATTTTTTTTTCCCCTCATCTTATTCCCTGCTCTTTCCTTTTCTTTTCCTCCTCCAGCAATGCAAGAGGAAGCTTTAAAGCTGGTTCTGCTGGCTCTGGAAGATGGATCGGCTTTGTCACGGAAGGTTTTGGTTCTCTTTGTGGTTCAGAGGTTGGAGCCACGATTTCCTCAGGCTTCTAAAACTAGCATTGGACATGTTGTCCAGCTTCTTTACAGAGCCTCGTGCTTCAAGGTATGAAGACTTTGCTTGGAGGTTTCGTACCACGTAAAAATACTTCTTTGTATAGCCAAATAATTGGCCTCTAATTTTAAATGAGTTATATTACACATTCACAACTTCTAAAACTCATTTGTTTTTCTCTTTCAGTTGTCACTGTCCCATACCATTAAATGCATTTAAAATATATATAGTTATAGAAAGCATTCCTCATTAAGTTCTGTGTGTGTTTGAGTGTTCTTTCTCCTACATTCGTGAAGGCAATGGAGGCTGAAATTGCAATTTTAAGCAGTAAATCTAAGCTTGGAGTCTGTCCAGGTTTAAAGGATGCATGGTAACAAACCTGTGTGTAAACCAGTGTAACTTACCTCTTTAAAAGACTTACAGCTGGAAAAGCCCCATTTCTGTTACTTGAGCTTTGCAGTGGTTAGAAACAATCATGAGGCACTTTACTATCAGAATGAGGTTTACTAGTGAAGCTGTATAAGTAAAACCTGAGTTGTTAATGGTACTGCTCGCTGTTTAAGTCTGTTGCTCTGTGCTCAACTTGAGGGTTATCTCACTAAATGAGGATGAAAATGCTTTGTTGCTGATAATGAAATGTAGAACAGAATTCTGCAGTATAATGTCATGACTGGGGAGCTGGGTGCAGATGCTGTAGTTACTGGTACAAGCATTTAGAAAGTGTGATAGTAATATCTGGATCTGATTCTGAGTGTATTGGATACCTATTTCATAGTAACCAGAGTTAATGAAGCGCTTATTTTAGTAGGAAATAATGATGATATTCCTTGCATAGTGTCATGATAGCAAATTAGCTTGCTCTGGGAGGAAGAACTTTGTTGGTGGATTTGAACTTATGTCTCTGGCTTCTCCTACTTAACTGTACTTGGCTCTTGGATTTTTTTTTTATTATTATTATTTTTTTTTGCCTGCTAGGTGACAAAGCGTGATGAGGATTCCTCCCTGATGCAACTGAAGGAGGAATTTCGGACTTACGAAGCTCTTAGAAGGGAACATGATTCCCAGATAGTTCAAATTGCTATGGAAGCAGGTTTACGCATTGCACCGGATCAGTGGTCCTCACTGTTATATGGAGACCAATCTCACAAATCTCACATGCAGTCTATTATTGACAAGGTAAAGCCACTTGCGGTCAGCCCAGCCTGTCTTGTCTGTAACTATTTATAGATCTATAAGCTTTTAAGTTGAATGGAAGGTGTTCAGATCTACTCATCATTGATCATTTGTGCTGTTATTTCAAAATCCTTTTTGGGCTAAATGAGAACCTATATTTAGACCTTAATTAATCCTGCTCCCAGTGCTCTCCTATTCTCTTTTTCTACTTGGTCTCTTTCAGTAGGTAGGAAATAGAGTTTAACTGCACAGCTGGGATGCGTCTCTGCTAAACAGCTGATAGCTACCAATGTAGTAAATCAGGTTAATAGTTTGTTTGCAGCTGGGAAGCTAGTCCATGAATTCAAAGACAATCATCCCCCCAGCTTGTACCTAAATGATGGCTTCCATGCAGGAGGATTAGCTTCAAGAAGGAACTGGTAGCTATCCATCTATTTGACCTGACTTTCAGGTCATGACAGATCTTTCTGAAGGACCTCTGTAGAGTTAAACCAGGATATTAGGTACTGAGGTTGTGTGGTGTTAGTAAGTTGAACATTGTCCTTCCATCTTTGTTAAATGGGTCTTAAATACTTGGCATCTTTTTCCTCAGTGCTGGCACAAATCAGAAAAGAAACAGGTTACACTGCTGGAAGTAATGACAGCCTTCATTTAACTTTGCAGTTAAAGCATAGTTTGGAGCTATGCTTTAACTTAGAATGCCAAAGAGAGGGTGTGTTCTTGAGGCTGGAGGAGGTATTTTACTTTAGGGTGCTGAAAACAGCTTTTTTTGGGAGGGAAAAATGCTTCAGTTTTATAAGATAGCTCTGATTTGATGGAGCAGCCTTCAGAAAGGGTTGCTTTGTCTGTAGAAAGTTAATTATTATAATTATTTTAAGTTGCAGACCCCAGCCTCATTTGCACAGAGTGTTCAGGAATTGACTATTGCTCTCCAGAGGACTGGAGATCCAGCTAACCTGAATCGTCTTCGACCTCACCTGGAACTCCTGGCAAATATCGATCCCAGTCCAGGTAAGTCTAGATATTTTGCAAAACTGTGTAACTTGTAGTTTACCAGGAGGAATTTAATTGGATTAGGGGATTGAAAGCTGCTCCTTAAGGAGAAGAAAATGTCCTCTATAACTGATAAAATTTAAGATTCGTGAATTATGTTGAAAACGAACCCTGCAAAAACAACTTGTGTGAAGAACTAAACTACTTTGAAATAAAAACAGAGCCCAGAAAAAAAATGCTGGAATAATTTCACTGTTTTTCTGATGATGCCTTCTGTTTTTGAAAGCACTGGCTAAGGTGCCTGAGGATGTGATGTGCATGTAATCCTCTGAGGTTACATGGTGTGTTCTTCATACCGGGCAGTGTTAACTGGGGGCAACTTGCAACAGTCTTTGTTCCTTTACCTGTTCAGTAAACATGCCATTTCCTGTTGCTTTGCAAATCTGGTTTCAGTAAGACTGGTAGAACCACTGTGTTTAATGTAAGCTCTTAGCTGTTGCTTTGAGATATTTCTTTCCCTCCAGTTAGTGGAACAGATCTGTTTACAAACAGGAGGGGTGTCTAAGAAAGCCTTTGTCAGAGTAAGGACTTCCATTGTTTTCTTACCTAAAAACTGTATGTCCTTGGTCGAGAAATTCTGGGTATTTAATTAAAGTTGGCTAAACTGCTAGAGTGCACCTTTTGCACTTAGAAGTCTCTCTTGAAGGTGTCTTTAAGATCATAGAGCCTCTTGCATGTAAACTAGTACTCCAAAGTACAAGTCTGGACTGAAATGAAGAAGATAGGCAAAAATCATTCTAGACAGGGTAGATGCACTATTTTGGGGAACTTACTACTTTCTTTTTAATCTGTCATTCTGCAAATGTGTGGAAAGATGAACTGGGAACTAGAAGGAATGCAAATGAGCTGCAAGATTTGAAGCTTATGACAGGGAGGAGGTGGTGGAAGTTGTTGGGAGAAGTTAGTAGCACTGTGGGGCTGGCCAGGGGCATGGCCATGGGCAGGAGTGGCTGCTGTGGCTGAGGTTTTATTTTGTGCCTGTCACATATTTGCCAAACTGAGATTATTGTCAGAGAGGAGTGTGAAGGCTTGAACTATGACTTCAGGAGATAAAAGTAGCAATTGATTTCAGTTTGCTTAAACAAGCTCTACTTTGAAGTGAAGACCAGCTACACTCTACAGCTAGAGACAGTGTAGTGCTTTCTTGCCAAATCCTTGTGCTCTACCTAGTCAAGGATCAAACTTGGAGTGCACTGGATACTTATTAGCTGAAGATTGACTGGGGAAGAGGGACCTGGATTGGTTGGAAAGAGTCTCCCTTCATGGTGACACCTTTTGGTGAAACCTTTTTGGTGATTTAGTAATTTTGTGATAGCTAGTATTTCATCGTAGCCTCATTGTAGAAAATCTTTTTCTGCATGTGTGGGGTTTTGTATATTCATACAAAATATGTAGAGTTTTGTCTAATACTGTTTCCTGTCTGTTATAGATGCTCCACCTCCAACATGGGAACAACTGGAAAATGGGCTAGTTGCTGTGAGAACTGTGGTTCATGGCTTAGTAGATTATATTCAGAATCACAGCAAGAAAGGAACGGACCAGCAACAGGTAAAAGCTAAAACTCTTCAAAAAACTTCAGAATAATCCAATGTATCTTTAAGGAAAAAAGACTTGCCCCCAAAGTTTTATTGGCTGGGCCTAGTGATACAGGTTTATTAGTGACACCTGGAGAGATATGATTTCATAAGGAGTAGGTCTGAGGATGTCCTTGCAGTCCCCCTTTTATTTAAGGAAAAAATTCCTGTTGCGTTTATTCACACATTTGCTAAGATAAAAAGAAAATGAACTAATCCAGCAGCAGTTTAGGGAAATGATTAGAGACCTCCAGACAAGAAGCTGGGGAGAAGGCCAAGGTACTACCCCTGTGCTCTGTGGGAGTCGTCTTTTGTCTGTTGTGTGAAAGGGAGCTAAGTTGGTAGAGAGATTTTTCTCAGGGTGAGGTGGGGCACAAACAAATTAAACACCCAAATCATGGTGAATACTACTTTGCTGGTTTAACTTTTTGCACTCACTGATTCCTCTGGAGGCCTAATGTGCCCTGTCACTGGCAAAAGGAAAAGCAGTGGTAGAGGGAAGGAAAAGATGGGGGTGGGAAAGCTCTTGAGGGTGCTTGTGATGGGCTTGGCACTGGAGGGAGCTTCACCTAGCTAGCCCAGGTACCTGGTGTGGAACAGCTGGCCCCCCGTGGTGGGGGCCTGCATCCATGCCTGCAGCATGGGCATCCCTGGCTTGGGGCTCTGGCCAGCAGAGGTTTGTGGAGCTCACCTACACCCCACCTAAATCCCTCCTCACTGTTACAAGGGTGCAAAAAATAGTTTGCAGTTTGTCTTCTCATAGAGCTGTATCTTGTACCTGAGTTTTTGTCTTGCATTTTACAGAAAGCAAAAGTGTGTGTTTACAGATCTTTCTATGGTGAAAACTCTGATAGGGTTTTTTTCCCCTGACTGATTTAGCGTTGCCATGAAATCTGTAGGAACTTCACATCTTTGAGACTCAGTTCTCATTCAAAATTTATCTTAGAGTACTTAGCAAATGGATGTACATGTAGATGGTAAGATGACAATAAGTCACAGAGACCAAATTCTTTAGAGACCAAATTCAAAACAGTGTAGAAGATGGCCCTGTATCGTGTTGTCTTGTGTGTTTAGACAAAAATAACTATCACAGAGGATTTTAATTCAAGGAGGGTACAGGGAAATGTGAAACTTAGCTCTACCTGAAGACCAAAGGGATACTAAGGGTCCCATCAAGATCCAGTAAGAAACTGGAAAAACTATTTTGAGAATCTGATTGTGACTTAGTTTCAAAATGCCCACTCTTGAACATTTCAGTTTGGTCAGAGACCCAAATGTGAATACTGTTCCTGTTAGTTGGTTCGATTTCGTATTTTCTTGGGATTTTTACGCAAAAGGAATATTCTAGTCACACATCAGTCCTTTCATAAGAGGATACATTCAGTTAAATGTACTTACATATCTTCCTTTGTTTCTTTACCCTTGACAGCCTCCTCAGCACAGCAAGTACAAGACATACATGTGCCGAGACATGAAGCAGAGAGGAGGGTGCCCCCGAGGGGCTAGCTGCACCTTTGCACATTCGCAGGAGGAACTGGAAAAGTAAGTGCACCTCTTCAGGGAGAAATCAGTCCAATCTTTGCTGCACCTTGTCCTTAAGTGTGAGTTATATCTAGGAAAGGGGAAAGGAGGCACATCTCACTTAACTCTTAAACTATCAAGAAATCATCTGAAAAAAAACTTTTAATAGACATATTTTAAGTTTTTGAACTGGTTATTCTTGAATGCAGAAAGTAAGCTTGACTTTGTATAGGGTTAGTGCTCCTATGGGAAGGAGGAATGCTGCTAATGCTGCGGTAGAAGGCTGCTGCTGGTAGCTTTTCAGATCAGTAAGTCCTCTGTCTTCTGTGTTGCTTGTAACTACCTGGAGAGTGAGAAACTTGAAGAGATTTTTTTTTTTTTTCTCTCTCCAGTGTTTGTCCCTGAGAGCTGTTCAGCCCCTCACACATGCAGTGTGTGTGTTCGTGAGCAGTTAAGGCTATTGTCAGAATAACAAAATGGCAATTATATGAAGTCTGCAGTAACTAAGCACTAGATATGAGAAATTTGGAGGCAACACCTGGTTATTGTAAAGTAGAACTCTGCAATTCTGAGTATTTGTTTCCTTTACAAAAAAAGATGTATTACTTAGAGGCTTTTTTTGTTGTTTTCATGTGGCTTATTTTACAGTTTTTAACTTGTGAACTTGTGTTTATGTTAAAATTACTAATTGTTCCAAGGAGGAGGCCTTAAGTCAGAGGAAGACTCCAGCAATTGGGAAATGGCATGCAGTCTTTCCCACTGCTTAAAATCTAAAAGCTCAAAGGAAAAATGTGGCTGTATGGAAATAGATGGAAAGAAAAAAAAAAAGGCACATGGTATTAGAACTACAAAGGCAGCTACTGGCACTGACAGAGCGTAGGACTTCGATACTAATGCTGTGTTGAAACAACATGGCTCGTGTGGGTTTTCCTCCCTCTGCACCCCTTGGTCATGTTGAAATTCAGCTTCATGGTGCTGTATGGGCAGGTTGGCCAGGGCAATGCTGTATCTCCTGTGAACTAGCAGTATGTATCAAGAAGGATGGTCTGTCAGCTTTGCTGGAGGAAGAACTGCATTTTATTCAGACTGGTTTGTTTGCCAGAGCAATAATTTTGTCTTAGGGTGAAGTGAGGTGACCATTTGCTGTTTCACGTTGCAGCACTTTACAAAAAGTAGGTGGTTGGAGAACTTTGAGTTGGGATCTTTCTCTGGACCTTTTATCTCTGCTTAATAGAGGGGGTGCTGCATTAGTTGTTCTCCTTCAAGTGTTTTATAGGAATACGATGTATGCTAGAGTATCTTAAGTGAAGATGTGTTGCAGAAAATTTTTGTTCTTGTATATAGCTTTAAGGTTGTGAGGAAGACAGCCTTACAGACAGTCTTATAGACAAGCTTATGTGCTTATAGACAAGTATGTGGTATTGCCTTAGATGTCAAATTATAATTTAGACTTATTTAGATGATTCCACCCTTGTTAAGGGACAAAGACTGAGTGTGTATGGATGAGTATTTTTTTAATATTATTTTTGTTTTGTTCCCTTGGAGACTGCCACAGACATTCATGAACTTGCTCTGAAGACTTCGGAGGGTAGCACTGTGAGCTTTTTTTTTTTTTTTTCTTCCCTTCTTCCCCTTTTTCTCTAAGCATTTTACTCTGAAGAATGTTGTATTAACTCTGTCACCTTCTCTGTCACCTTTGGTTAATACATGCACTTAGGTTTCTTGGACAGACAGTTGTGTCCTATGTAAATGGGCAGCCCTCCTCATGCTGCAAGTTGTGTGCAAGTCCTCGTGAGGTCAGTAGCCATCAGGTGCTGCAAGCCTGAGAGACCTGGTGGGAGGGAGATGTTCAGAGGTAATTGGCAAGCAAAAACAGCTGTGGCTTCTCAGTGCCCTACTACCCCTCTGCAAGGAGAAAATGGGCTGTTTGGGCATTAGTGAGATTCTTGAAATGAACTGAGTTCAGCTTTGTGAGCTGCTGTTGGCTCGCTTCTGCTCATGGCCAGGGGTTTTACTTGGCAACCTGTGTCCTGCTAAGCACAACTGACTTGTGTGGCTGTTGCCAGAATAACTTCTGAGTAGTGTTCTTCCAAAGTCATGGGCTGTCTTTACTGAAGTGCTCCTCCTGTGGCAATGCCCCATCCCTTTTTCCCCCTATTAAAGTGTTCCTGTGACTTTTTCTCAGCACTATGTAGTTTAAACTTACAGTTTGGCTATTTGGATACAAATTAATCCTGGCATAAAATTGGTGTGTTGATAAAAAGCTCATCAATGCACTAGTGGCTCCAGGGGTATAGCTCAAGGAAGATCCTTCTCACCTACAAACCCTTCATAGAATGAATGAGATGGGGATGTACCTCTGAAGATGGTCTAGGCCAAGCTCCCTGCTCAAGCAGGGTCACCTGGAGCAGGCTGCCTAGGATGGTGTCCAGAGAGCTTTTGAGTGTTTCCGGGCATGGAGACAAACTCTCTGGACAGCCTGCTCCTGTGCTGTTCACCTTAAAGATGAACAACCCCGATCTGTATAGCAAGATTACACTTAATTGTCTGATGCTTTGAAAGAACAACACTTTGCTCCTACATTATGATATTAATAATATAGCTCCTCTGTTTTCATTCCCTACAGTAACATTCCCTACAGTCCCTCCTCTGTTAACAGCTGATAAGCCAAGTGAGATGTTATTAGGAGTTTGGCTTCAGTCCATTCAACCTTTTAGAAGTCCTCTTGCATAGGAAACCGCCTCTGGGTGTGCAGTGCAAACAGTGGAAAGCAGTCGTGCTAGCGTCAATGCCTTCCCGCCCGTGTGCTGCTGTCTCCACTGGAGGCAGGGTGCTTAGTGAGGGACCCTCAACTCTGGAATCGACTCTCTTCCCTGGTCCAGTACTGTCAGTCTGCTGATTGCAGTGGAACATTAGGAGGCTCATGTTTGCTCAGACTTATCAGAGCTGGTTAGATTTTTCTGGGACTACAGTGTGTTTTGAATTTATCTCCAAAATCACTTTATATATCAAGCAATGCAAATAGCATAATGTGTGCATTGGTACAGGTACTTAAATCTTGAAAGCCTATGTTTGAAAAGATACCGTACGTACAAAAAGTATGGCTTATTATTGGACTAATGATGCAAAAGGGAATCTGTTCATTTTTTCTCTATCTTTAGTTTGTCACTGGTCTGTGAATAGAACAGAGTAGTACACAGTTTGATTTTTTTTTTTTTTTTTTTTTTTTACTGCTGTTTTTTGATTTGGTTTTCTTCCTATAGCTGTCTTGGATATACATACAGGAAATAAGGTTTTAAATTTACTGTGGGAAGCTCATCTCTGACTTCATGGTGTACTTCATCATTAACAGTCATCCTTAGAAGAAAGTATCTGTCACACTGATTGAAATACTTATCAACAATTTATTATTAATAAATTGCTCACATCTCCAGAAAACTTGAATTAAGTTTTCAAACTTTTAATAGTAGGTTTTTTTAAAAAATAAAAATAAAATGTAAAAGCATTTTCAACTTTTTTTGTTTCATTTTTTTTTAAGATTTCGCAAAATGAACAAGCGTCTGGTTCCCCGAAGACCGCTGAGTGCCTCTTTGGGCCAGCTGAATGAGGTGGGCCTGCCTTCAGGAGCTATCCTCTCGGATGAAGGGGGAGTGGACTTGCCCAACAGGAAAACCTCTGTCCTGCCAAACGGAATTGTGTCAACAGGCAGCACCGTGACACAGCTCATTTCCCGAGGGACTGACTCCAGTTACGAAACAGCCCTGAAGCCAGGGAAGATGGACCACCTGAGTAGCAGTGCCCCAGGATCCCCACCTGAATTGTACGGGTCTTCCTAAATGTTCTTTATAGTGTCGTGTGTGTAAATGGGTGGTAGAAGCCAAGTAAACCTAGAACTATATAAAAACTTTAAAACCTAAATCTCCATACAGGAAACGGTCATTTTTTTTGTTTTGTAGTGGCTAAATGGTGGAATAGAAAACTAAAGCTCAACTGCCTGACTTCCTGGCTTATTTAATTGGAGAAGGTGATGCAGGTTTTAGAAAAGTAGAATGTAGGCAAAGAACAATGTCTTAAATGATAGGAAATTACATTGTGTCTTAATAGGCAATGCCATTTTTGTTTTTTTAGGTTGGAATCTGTCTCCAAGAGCTCTATTTCTGCCTTACCAGTGAACCCTCATCCTGGGCCTGCTCGGGCACCAACAGATTTGCCTTCGGTGTCAGTCACCAAGCAGTTACAAATTGTACCACGAGGCTCCCAGTTGTATAATAACCAGCAAGCAGATATCTTTTATCAAGATCCTAGAGGCGCTGCCCCTCCATTTGAGCCAGCACCCTATCAGCAAGGTAGGCTTGAGGCCAAGCTCTCTGTATTGTCTTTGATTGTCATAGTGGTTTTGTTACTTCTTCCTGCCTTAGTGTGTACTTAGGCCATTATATTAGTATTTTCCTGCATGCTCCTTCAACTGCAGCCATTAATGAGGCGTTTGCCCCAATAAAATGGGGAATTGGTATGTCAGGGTGTTGGACGGATACGCTTTAGCCTTATAATGCAGTATCGCCAGATAAGGTGAGCTGCCGCTGGCCATTCCTTTTGGTTTTGACTGAAGACTTTCCTCACTTGTGTTAGAAGCTTAACCCATCCAGTATAGGAAGTCTGTCCTCTAATTTTTCTGAAAAGCAAGCTAGATCAGAGATTGTGAATGGTAACCCTTAATTCAATTTGCATCAGAAGGGAAATAATGCTTAGTCAGAGGGGATTATGCCTGAGGGATAGAATTGCTTAATATCCTTAATGAGATGTTTCTGAGTCTTCGGCATCTTCAGCAATGTCTGCACATGCATATAATGGGTAGAGAAAATTGAAACATAAAGGTTGGCTGTAAAAAAAAAAAAAAAAAAAAGTCATAGTTAGAGATCAAATGAGAGAAAATACTGAAAGGGCTTACTGAAAGGAAATATATAATGTTCAAGATCGAGGATGATTCATATCACAGCATAAAATGGGGGAGAACTGAAATAAAATGCAAGCAATGTGAAAGGGAAAGAAGTATAAAGGAAAATATATTTTAAAAAATCTAAAGTTCTATTTTAAGCAAGTTGTAAAACATTCTGAAGAAAAGACTTTTACTGCAATTTGTGTGCAAAAGGAGATCTGAGTTGTATGCAATTTGACACGCTTATCAGTATGCACATGTCCATGCATGTTATCAGATCATCCCAAAAGCACAGATAAGTTGCTGAAACATTGGGGTAACTAGGAGATGTGGTTCCAGGAGTCTTTGATGCTGTGGAAAGTATGTTAAGAACTGAAACTTTTTTAATGTTCAAGAGATAGAACAAATCTTTAGCTAACATTATCATTAATCCATATTTTGTGCATGTACTGGTGCTGATATAATGGGGAAAACCCAACTGAAATGTGCGCACACAGATGCGTGGGCTAACCTTGCCTGTTAAGGTTTGTCTGGATTAAAGTATTTATGTGAATCTGGGGGAACATCCTAGTGGTTGTTCTCCCTACAGCAAATAGGCCAAGCAGTTGTTATTTTTAGCCTGTGCATGATCCCAATGAAACAGAGTAAAGCAGGACTGCTCTGGCACTCAGAGTGGGCTCAGCCTTGCCTCTTCTCCTAGAGAAGCTCCTATTCTAAGCTTTGCTCCTTTTTAGTTTCTAGTTTAGTGAATTAAACTGTTGGACTTTAGATTCACCTGTTCTTAAAAATTTGCTTTGGTTAAATTTTCCTTCTAAATATCATTTAGACAGAGACAAGCAATAAATGTCAAGTAATTGATAACACTTAGGATACCTGCAGACTGGAATACTTGAAGCTGTACTTTTGTGAACAGTTGTCACAATCACTTTCTGCATTTTGTTCATTGCTTTGACCCTTTTCATTTCAGGAGTTTACTATCCTACTCAGTCTTCACAGTGCATGTCTCGCTTTGTCCGACCTCCTCCATCAGCTCCTGAGCCTGGTCCACCTTATTTAGACCATTACCCAACTTACCTTCAGGACCGTGTGGTGAGCCCGCAGTACACGCAGCCGCAGCAGTACCCTCCTATGGGGCAGCCCATATATCCACCTCACTACGACACCCGTCGCGTCTATCCCCCTGTCCAGCCATATCAGCAAGAGGAAATTGTCCGAGGAAACCCGGTACCAATTGAAATTCCACAGGCAGCTGTACCCTCCTACATACCTGAATCCAGGGACAGATACCAGCAAGTGGAGGGTTATTGCTCCATGGCTCCACATCTCAGTCAGATCAGACCTCCATGCCACAGAGTACGGATTTCATAATGTACTTTTGTAGCTCTTCTTGATGGAAAGTATTAATTACTTGAGTAAATGGAATGTTTCTGCAGTTAGGTGTTGTTGTTTTGGGAGCCATTAAAAGTATGAGGGGTGGTTTTATGGTTGCCACATGCAATCCTTTCTAGAGGGACAAGAAGTTCCAAGTACAAAGTGAAGAGTCACCATAGCGGAAGAATCCAAATTTGTTTCAGTAAGTCACCAGCTGGAAATGGGTGCTGTAGCATGGTTAAACTTACATAGCTGGTGTCAGATTGAAGGCTCTGAATCAAAATGCTAGTCCTAGGAAGCGTCTTCTCAGAAGATTTTTTTTTCATTTAACTCTTAACCTCATCAGTTTTGAGCTTATCATATTTGTGATGGGTTTTAATTCTTTAGTGAGGTATATCCACACTAACTGAGACTAGGTTAAGATTGACGAAGTTTTACTGCTGCTGTTGTCATATGACTAAAACTAGGACTTGTCATGTTGGCACATGTGTAGTATTTCAGTAGGCACTTTGCCATGTTGGAACATGTAGTCATGTTAAGCTACCTGTGAGTAAAACATTAATGTTTTAAAGTTTTCAAGTGATGTTTTAATGTTTCAAAGAAACACTGGGGTAGTTTTGGCATCTAATCAATTTGGGGCAAATTATATTCCCTACCATTGGGGAGTTATTGAACTGAAGAATTTTGGCCAGTGTAGGAACACTAGTTCCTACTATGAAACAGATTTTTTATTTATTTTTGTTTTTTATTTTTAAACTTCAGAGGCCTTGTAACACATTTTTGTCTTCATCTTAGCCTCATCCCAGCCTGGATGAACTTCACCGCCGAAGGAAGGAGATCATGGCTCAGCTAGAGGAGAGGAAGGTGATTTCTCCCCCTCCTTTTGCGCCTTCACCAACCTTGCCTCATCCTTTCCATTCAGAGGAGGTAAGCATACTCTGATCATAGAGATCTGGCTGGCAAACTTGGCTAGCAAATAGTTTGCTTATGTTGTTAGGTGAAGATGACAAAGTTAGAACAGCAGCAGTGGTGACAAATTCTTCAGAGAAGTTTGGTGCACCCTTACAGGGGAGAAAACCCTGTAGCTCAATCTGCAGTCTCTGAAGCCGGTTCTCTGACTCACTGCTGATCTTAAACTATCTAGTTTTGGTGTGACCAAATGCTAGGTTAAACAGTTATTAATAGAAATAATCTTCTTGGTCACTTAGTTTTACTTCATTTACTATACATATGATTAGAATTAAGTAATAGTGTGATTGAGCTTTACTCTTTTAACGAAGGTCAAAATATCACTTTCCTACTGGACAAGTGAACAATGAGTATGGGAAGTATAGCCAGGTGAGGAGAATACTTTATGCTTGCTGCAGCCCAACTCTCAACAGTGATGTATCCAGAAGAAAAACACCAGCAGAATTTAATTTTTCAAGTTAGCTGTTTTTTGAACTAAGAGGTAGTGGCTGTAAAGTCACTTTTTCCCCTTACTTACAGAACCAGATTTTTGTTTTCGTACAGTACTTGGATGAAGACCTGAAGGTAGCTGGGAAATATAAAGGAAACGACTATAGCCAGTACTCTCCCTGGTCATGTGACACCATCGGCTCCTACATTGGAACCAAAGATGCAAAACCCAAAGATGTTGTGGCAGCAAGGAGCGTGGAAATGGCGGTACGAGTTGATAAGGGGAACAGAGTGGAAAAACTCGCGTTGGTGGGACTTGCTCAGGACTAGGGGTTGTTCTCCAGGATGACTACAGCGCTTGTATTTTAGCCCAAGTGTGTTGCACTGAAGTGGGGTGGTATTAGCAAGTGTGTGGAGTGTTTTTGCTTTTAAACTTAATACTCCTACCTCTGTGCAGGTGTGTTTCTTTTCTTGTTTTTCTATACTTCTCATCCTTCCACACATAGGTTCTTTCACTAGTACAGGTGCTCCCCTGGTGCAACCACTTAATCATAGAATTTTTCTGTCCATCTTCTCCTCTTAGCTCATAGGCTGGCTTCCCTGTTTTCCTCTCTGTTTTATTGGAATTAGATGCAACTGAATGGCTTTCCTTTTAGAACTTGTAAGTAGGCATAAAATAAGAGCAAAAAGGAGGCTTTCTCATAGAAAAAAGAGGAGCAAGGAAAGACTGAAAAAGCATTTCATTGGCAGCTTTAGAAGGTGGTTTGGTTTTATCCATTTGCTGTCTTCCTTACACAATGTGTTTGCCTTGAGTAATGACACTGTCACAGCCAGCCTGCAGAAATGTGGAGGTTAAACATGGAATTAGCTTTTGTTGTCCCAGTGACACCTCCAGAAATTTAGGGATCCAGTAAACAAGTCTGAAGTGTTTTGTGCTAGGAAACTGCACAAAAATGATAATCAGTTAGGAAAGGTAATCTGGTGTGCTGAAGATGCCTCCCTTGGAGCTGAAGGAAAAGCCTTTTTCATTGCTGAACAAAGCACTTCCTCTGCATCAGAGCTGTGTTTCAGATAAACTGCTGCTATTCAGTTGTCTCCTCCCAGGGAGAAAAAATCTCAGCAGACATTCTTCACAGATGGCAAATTAATCCATTCATCCTTTCTATTGTTCATATGAGCTTCCTTTTCTTAGGATAAGGGTTGTATCATTTGAGAGTGCATCACTGTGGAGTTCATGCAAATGACACTGCAGGTTTGTGCTTTGCTCCTACTCTCAGTGAATTTTATTGTCATTTAAGAAATCCAGAGCCGAAGGTGCCTAGTGTGTCTTGACTTCAGCATGCTTAAATTTCTTGTGTTGAGCCTCCAGCTCAACTGTGACTTCTCTTTTCACCAGCTTAATTTTGCTCAGCTTGCTTTTGTTTTCAGCAATTATTATCCTTACTGGAGGCTTGCACAGAGCTTTATTTCAATTTTCACTGTACACAAGCTATTTTTAAAATGTTAGCCAGTGCTATTCATGTAGTACCCCCTCTTGCTCCTTTGTCGTACATTGCTCTCTTCTACTATTTGACTACTTTTAACAAAGTGTTACTCAATTTTGACAATTTTTAGTGTTAAATTTGCTGGCAGTCAAAGGATAATACAGCTTTCCTGTCTAATTTGTTACTGATTGTTAATAGCCATTTGTTATTAACTCTTTATCTCTAGAGTGTTTTTTTTGTGTGTGTGTGTGGATATAACAACTGTTCCTGTATATGTAGGTCTGAATGGAGGGCAGGAAGGGGGGTTTGCCCTGGGGGCAGGGAGCTCCTCTTTTTATTCATGGAAACAACCATTTGACTCCTCCTTTGAAGTTTCTCAGTCCAGGTGACTTTCTGCAGTAGCTTCCCTATCTTTTAACAAAGCCTCTATTTCTCTTTTGAGACAAAAGTCTCTAAGACAGTCTGTTTCTTCTAAATAAGTTTAAAGCAATTGACTTAGTCTTCCTAACTCAAGTCTGTTTCCTGTGCGCCTCTTTTTCCTTTATGATTGTTGTATTTTGCCAAGAAGTCATAGCTGATCAAGTAATACAGAACAGAGAGAGAACCTCTCATTTACTCATATGCTGGCTCTTTAAGCTTTTCAAGTTTGAGTGTGAGCTAGAAACCAGGATGAATTGTATTGCTGCTTAAAGAAACATCTGACCAAGTGCTATACTAAATTCTTAAGTGAATCATCTGCAATCTTCTAGATGATATGGGCCTTATCTTGTGGATTTCAGAGGAATTGTCTTTGGATTTTGAAACGCGAGGGTGTTCCTTGGTGGTGCCTACTAATATCCTCTTTGACATTATTTCAGAGTTATTCTAGTGTTTTTTATCCTGTCTAATTAAAATTTGTGCCCTAGTTTCTTCTTAGCTGCTGCCTTTGCAGCAGTTATTCATAGGCTGTTTCAAGTGGTGCTGGCAGCAGCCATCTCACTCAGGTGGACCAGTAAAAGGCTTTGGCTCTGGCAGTGGAGTTGCTTATGAACTACAGAGCAGAAAGATCACTTGAAGGATGAAGGGAATGGGAATGCAAGCAAGAGCTATTCATACTGGTACCAGTTTATCCTAAAAGCAGGGCTTTTTGCTCTCTCCAGATTGTTATTGATGGTCTCTTTCCTCTCTTGTCTAGAACGTAGATAGTAAAGCTATGCGTGACCAGCGATTGGACATGCAGAGAAGGGCAGCAGAGACTGGTGATGATGATCTTATTCCATTTGGAGACCGACCAACTGTGTCAAGATTTGGGGCTATCTCTCGTACCTCCAAAGCAATGTACCAGAGTTCTGGTCCCATGCAGGCCATGGCGGTTCAGGGAGCTTCCACCAAATCTATCATTTCAGGTATGATGCCTAGGCCTAGATGTTGCAGCTTGCTGTTGTGGTGTGTTTGTGTGTGTATGTGTGTGTGTCCTGTAAAGTTATTTTGTTCTGATAGTCCCTCTAATGTAACACTTCTGGTAAATTTACTGTAGTAAAATCTGGAGAATTACTGCTTTTACATCTATAAAATAGCAGAACCTCATAACAGAAAGTACTGTACTGCACTCATAGTAGTTTATAAGTAGTTGCTCCTGCAAATTTAATACGACCCTTGTTTTGTTTTATTGTCAAGCAAAGGCAGTAAATTGAGGGTTATTTGTTACAGTAGTCACACCTCTAGTATAACAGCACATCTAATTTTAAAAGCTGGGTGTGTGAGTTGTTTTTGTATTTTTGCTTTCTTTTCTGAGAGAGACTGTAGCAAAACTTACTGTACATACGGGAGTTGTGCATTATGCAATAGGACTGCCTGCACAGGTTGTATTTTTGTGTTTTTTACTTCAGTGGAAGAAATGCTAGGATCCCTTACTCCTGGAGAGAGCTGATTCTCGTGGTTATGTTTTAATGTATGTTCAGTTCTGTGTATTGCTTGAATTTACTTAAAGGATAGTTCTGTAGCACTGCAACATCATTTTTTCTCTGTTCCCTTGTAGACTACAGTCCTTATGGAACTCATGGTGGCTGGGGTGCCTCTCCATACTCTCCTCATCAAAATATACCTTCTCAGGGACGTTTCAATGACAGGTAGGAGGAATATTTGTGGATGTGGGTCTCTGTTGTTTTTGTTTTTCTTTTCTCTTGTCTTTCTTTTTGTCTGGTTACTTCATTGCCAACTTTAGTGAAACCTTTTGGTGAAATGCCTTTACCTGCTTTGATTTTTGCGTTGATTTACTTTAATTGTTTTTCTGATCCCCAAGGGAAAGACTGTCCATGTCAGATGTGGCTGGTCATGGGAAGCAGTTACCCTCAGCTGAGCGGGAACAGCAACTGCGGATGGAGCTGCAGCAAGTAGACCATCAGATCAGCCAGCAGACACAAATGCGAGGACTAGAGGTTGGTACAAATGTCTTGGAAAAGCAGTGAAAAATAGGGAGAGAGATGAAGCTAGTAAGGCCACCTTTCATGTGGTGATCATTCTTCTATGATTATAATGAAATTCAGTAATAACTCTTAATTTTGTGCAGCCAGGCATCAGGACTATGGCATGGGTGTATTCCTCTCTATTTAGTAGCAGAAACTTACCTGCATTTCAAGTTACAACATGGTGTTAGCTTGTTTATCTGTACTGTGTGCTCATTCATGCTTGCTTGCTTTCTCTCTCTCTTTTTTTCACTCAAACTCAGAGACAAACTTTCTTTGGGTAGATATAATCTGTTCATCTTGGCTTGCTGCCTCTGAAAATGTCTGATACTGTGTTTCAAAGCTTAAGTCTCTCATCTGTGTCATGTATGGCTTGGTTATGCCCTTTTCTTCCTAAATAGTACAAGCCCCAAGAAATAAAGCAAGTAGATATGAAAGATATTTGTTGTGAATGCCTTAGCAACTCTTCAGATAATTTTCTCAGAAAGAATTACTATAAATAGTGAATAGCAGCTTCTACTGAAGCTCTAGTCACCTGAGAACTTGTGTTACAAAGGAGGGGTTGTAGATTTGTCATAAGAGTTCACAATTTTTAAAATGCAACAGCAATTGCAAGTTGTATGTGTTTGCAGTTACTTGAAACATAATTTATGTTCTTCTTTAGGAGCAAGAGGAGAAACTGTGTTTTAAATTTTGCACGTCTGCCTTTGCCATAATGGAGGAGTATTGCAAAGTTTCAAAACCCTTAAGTGGCCTTCCTCTCCTTTTCATTACTGTGGTGGTTGTCAGTGTTAAACCCCAAGTAGTTGAGTTCTGAACCTCGATTTAGCATAATTTGGATCTGTTAAAGCTAGGCAGTTATTTTGAATAACAGCAGCTTTAAATTTAGTTTTTGTGCTCAGACAGAGCTAAACACTCAAAAACCAAGAGGCCTTGTTCATTTAGCAATTACAATGTTCTGATTGCATAAATCAAAGTTTGAGCATAAGGAATTATATTCTTTTGTTTCTTCTCAACTACATAAGCATTTGTACTTGCAGACTTGGCAGACGTTTCTCCTGCTGGCAGTAGCAGATAATGTGTACTCTGTGTTTAAACCCGCAGTTTGCATGTTCTTGTGGGGCCGATTCCTTGACAACACCAGATTTCTGGAGTAACTGATGTGGCTACCACTAAGCCCCCTTCCAAGTTTGCTACTCCCATAACAGATAGTTGAAGTACTTGTGCACTAAGTTCTTAAGCTGCCCTGGGATACAGCCTTCTGTATTTTGATCTAACTTAAATTTGTGTTAGTTTGCTTTAACATACCAAATGTGTAAATTAAATGACATCAGGAGCTGAGCTGACTCTTTATCTCTGGTGCAGGGGCAATAATCTTGCAGGGAGCTTGAGGTGGATAGAGCCATAAACTTATTAGCAAGCCCAGTTTCGTTGGTCAGTGTTTGGGGGTTAATGTGCAGACTTGGGCAACTTGTAAGCAACCGTAGTCACTTGAGCTTCTCTGTTCCTGTGCTTCCTGTTCCGGGACAGCGGAGAGCTGCATATTGATGTCCTCATTTCTTATACTTTATAATGATACTGAAGTGTATTGTAGAGATTTGATTAAAACTTACTACTGTAAAACTTCCTTTCTAAGTTCCAGGCAGTGGATTTGCTTATCTGCTGTTAACTTTTTTGCAAAAAAAAGCTTGCACAAAAAAGAGTTGTTTTTGTTGATGCACTATACCTTACCTTATTTTTCTAAGGGAAAGGTCTATGAGGAAAACCCATACAAATTTGTTACAGTGAAAAGTATTTAACACTTTTTACTAAAAAGGACTTGTGAATGTAAAAAACATTTACAGTTGCTTTGGAAATGATTTCAATTGGGACCTCGTTAAGCCAAGAGGGCGAAGGCCTTGGTTTTGCAGATCAGCAATACTCTGGACTTATGCCCTTTTTTGTGCTTGGTGTTGTGTGCTCAGTTGTGTATGTGCTTGGCTTTATGTATTTAGGCTGTTAGTAACAGGCTGCTGTTGCAGAGGGAGGCGACTACCCTGGCAGGCCAGCCACAGCCCCCACCCCCACCTCCCAAGTGGCCTGGGATGATCTCAAGTGAGCAGCTGAGCTTGGAGCTACACCAGGTGGAAAGGGAAATTGGGAAGAGAACCCGTGAGCTGAGCATGGTGAGTGCCATGGGGCTGGGAGACAGAGAGGTGGAGTGGAGAGCTGCGGAGCTGCTGGCAGCCATCGTGCCCTGGCAAAAGGCTCTCTACTGGTTGACCACAGCTCAAGTCATCTGTTTCCCTCCCCACCGCTTCATTCAGCAAAACCTCCAGATCCTTCTGTAGAAAGACTTTGAATTTTAGCTGCTGGAAAATACACTCCTATTATTTTATAGCCCTTTTAAAACAAAAAAAATCAAGAAACAAAGTAAGCAAGTTTGAAAACTGAATTGTCTCCTAGGTCACTATGAATTGTGTAAATTGCTTTAATAGAGAAAACACTTTCTCCGGGGGCAGTGTGCTAGTTTATGTGCTGTTAAAGTCTGTGGTCTCTGCTTGTTGTTACAAGAATTGTTGGCTTAACTTCCTTTTGGGAAACACTGTATCCTGAGAGGATGAGCATATCTTACTGAGTCTCGTCTCATGGCTTTTGTTGGCTACACTGTGTAACGCCAATTTTCAGGCTCTTGTCACTGATCTCAAAGAACAAAGTCCTAAATTCTTAGCACTGAATTTTTTTTCTTTTCTCTACAGGAGAGCCAGTCTTCACTGGATATAAAAAACAAACTGGGCACCACTAAGCAGACAGAAAATGGACAATTAGAACCGCAAAGCAAGGTTCCAGCTGAGGACCTCGCACTGACATTCAGGTGACATGGAGTTCCTTACGGTTCTTGTCATCTTGTTACTCATACTGGAGTGTACCTAAATCGGGGTGGCTCTGGCATATGAATAATACTCCGTCACATTTTCATCTGTGGGAGCTCCTATTAGGAAAGGGTTATGTAAAGCAAGTTTTTATAGTGCTGTGAATTAGGGGTAAACATGAATTGGGGATAAAATCCCCTTGAGCTGGGGAGTAGAATGAAACTAGGTATTAATGAGTAGAACAGAAGAGCTGTCATATCTGCCAAACAGAAAGTTTATCTAGTTAATGCTGGGTGTTTAGTAAGGAAAAATTGAGGAAATAAACAGAAGAGAGATTGTCTGCTGTTGTAGCTTCAAAGAACGGTAACTTTTCAAATGAGAGAGGAAGGTTATTCCACCCTGCCAATGACTGATGTGGATATTGCCTGTGAGAGTGTGAAGCTTTGGAGCAAAGTTCACTTTGATTTGTAGGCAGTGACTTTTGATCCTGTAGGTGTTGGGATGGGTTTAAACTTGCATTTAAGAAAGCCAGTTGAAATAAGCTAGGGGCTGGGGATGCTGGAAGTCTGCACAACAAACACTGTAGGATGCCTAAAACATCTGTCAATACTCAGATTAATATTTTGACAGGAGGGCTCAAATGCTGCAGAAGTAAACTTGTTTTATGTAATATACTGAAATATCTAGTAAAATCTAACCAATCAAGAATGCTAAAACATTCTTGTTGCTTTTGTTCTTATTTTATTTCTTCTCTTTCTGGGAAGCACCTGCAGCATTGTAAATAATCGATTCATTTTACAAGGCATGACTTGACCAGTTCACAACTACTTCAAACACTGCAGCAACTAATACTCAAGTCCCTGTCATCTGTGTAATAAAAATAGTGAAAAATACCCACCCACTTTTTTTCTTGGCTACTGTCTTTCAGCAGTGATGTTCCAAATGGATCAGCCTTGACACAAGAGAACATCAGCCTTCTGTCAAACAAGACATCGTCTCTGAGCCTGTCGGAGGACCCGGAGGGCGGAGGAGACAACCATGACTCCCAGAGAGCAGGAGTTACACCCACATCTGCTCCCTGAAGTGAGGCCAGCATACCCCAGAGTTTCTTTTGCTGGGGTGCTGTTAGCTTCCATCATGTATTTTTTTCCAGGGCTGATTGAAGAAACGCAGAAGCAACAGCAGTAGCAGAGCAGCAGATCCAGAGGCAATGTGCACAAACACAACTACTAGAAACAAATCCTGCACATAGTTCACATTAACGCATTTTTTAATTAAAAAAATGAAAATTAGCAGTATCTGCAAGCGATTCAAATTAAATTTGTTTTTGTTCTGTGAATGAACTTTATTTTAATAACTTCAGACGCCTTGGATCCCAGGGCTTAAAAAAAAAAGATATTATATATATACTCTGTTTGATTAATTGTATGATCTTAATGAAGTAGTTTTTTCTTTTATTTTGGTATTATTACATACCCAGTGCATAACTTGTTTTAATCATCTTAATTATTCAACAGTTAAAGCAGCCTGGCCACTTCCTTGTCTGATTAAAAAGGGAACAAGGAAGGAGGAATGGGGAGTAGCTATGAACCGTAGCGTCAAAAGACATGCAGCAGATTTCATTCTCAAATCAATTCCTCCCCTTGCGTCTAAAATGTGACTTGTATATAAATCCGATTGCTTAAATAATTTAAACTTAAACTACAAGTAGTAGAATCTTTTTCAGTACAAGTACAGTCCGTAGCATATACCCCAACACAGCACATGTGATTAAAACGGATAACAAACAATTGTCCAACATGTGTGTTACCTTATTTGAAAGTTGCTGGCCTGTTTTCTGTTGGAAATAAATTGGCAGAGTGCAAACTGAAGTAGACCAACCATGGTTTGTTCAGAAGCTGGTGAGCTGGGTCTGGTGGTAGAGGCTTAGCAAATCAGCCAAGATGGGCAGCATGGCAAGGCAAACTTGAGAAACAGGAAGCAGAGAAAGCACAAGCACGTGCAGTTGTTGTAGATGAGCTTGCTGAACCATATTAGGTTCTGTACTGTTTGCTTGTTATTCCTTTGCCAGGCCTTTAAAACAACCTTATCCAAAGTCCATACAATTAAGCTGATGCAATGGGACTTACTAAGCTCTCTGCCTTTGAAACAGTTCTTTTGTGTATGAAAACTCTTGCAACTTCTGCCACAGTTTTTTTTTCTTCATAACTATTGTTATTAAAACCATCATAATTTCTTCTGTAGCTATTTAATGTGATGCTATTGAAGACCTTTTACTAAAGGAAGCGGTGACTCTTGATTTATATGCATCAGCATAGGTAATCTGACAAAAGCAGAGGAGAAAGTGAGGCAATAGAAAGTTTCCTTTTTGAAAGGTGATGCTAGTCAGGGTGTGTATTTATGGGAACTCAGTGTCTCAAACCATTGTTTTGCAGCATGTCTGTTGCAGATGCACTGAATCCTACCTGAAGCCAGTGATTCTCTTTCATGGAGGGAAATGGCCTCAAAACTACTACTTAAGTTGCAGTAGTGATCCTGGCAGAAGTGGTTAGAAGCACTGACAGCCAAATTTTGATAAATCAAGTGTGCTGCTGCCTCAAGTAGATGCTCTGTAAGCAAAAGCTACAGAAGCTGTAAGCCTCTCTAGATCTCTTTCCTTAAAAGTTCAAGTTAAAGATTTTTTGCTGCACATTTTTTGACTGTTTCTACATGCCTTGGGTTGAGGCCCTCTAAATGAAGAATTCTGTGGAGATAGATTTTTTTTTTTTCTTTGCAAGTGCTGCTCCCTCTACACCTTCTTGGCCCATTCTCATTTCTGTATTGACTACTAAATCAGAAAGCACTGGTTATGTAATAAATTACTGCATTGCTTTGGTTGGGTAAAGCAAGAGTTAATAATTTTCTTGGTTTTTAGTTTTTCTTAACCTTAACTCCTGCTGAGGTCATAGCAACCTTGGGCTAAGCTTTGCATTCATCATACTGTTAAATACAGCAAAATGGGGGGTGGGAGGGGATACAGTCCCACTATTGCCTACCAGTAGGAGAGTCCAAACAGAAGACTCTTTTGAGTAGCAATTATTTAATTTGCCCAGTCAAGGCACCGCGTTTATATAATATTTCACATTGAATTTGATTATGCCCTACAGACCTGGCTGGTCAAGGATTTGATACACATATTGGCTTGGGATTCGAGCTTTCTTTTTTATTTAAATAAAAATTTATATATAAATATATATATACATATATACATAGTTATATCTGTATATATATTGGGTATGTTTTAAGAATTTTTTCGCATGAGCGCAGCTGTTGTGATAAAATGTCTGGGAGGTAGAAGCACTGAATGAAGATAAAGGCATTTTTCAGCAGGCACCCCCATCCTCCATACGTCTTTGCACGGGTTTGTTTCACTTAGTCAAACTTTAGTCTCTGAACTGCGAAGAGAAGTCGTTTTGAAGCTTGCTTGTTTTCTTTTCCTCTTAATTTTTGGCGGAGAGTCATCTTTGCGCTGGAGTAGCTTCTTCTCCACCCCACCCCCATCCATCCATATCTCCTACTTGAGACCTAGCATCACAGCTGCTCTCCTCCGAGCTGAGAAGAACTAGGCTGATGCAGTTTAGAGCCTGTCAGGTCTGTTCCTCCCTTCTCTGTGTAGGGCATGATGATTTTTAGCATGTTCCCCAGCAGCATGCTCACTGGTGACCTGAGCCAGGACCCTGTGCTGTGTTCTCCTTTCCTTAAGCACAGAGCACCACCATCAGGTCAGCCTTCTCTTCAGGATTTTTAGTTCATGTCTTCTTACTGTTTTTGTCTTAACATAGGAAGTTCATTTTAGTTGAGATAATTAGCGCAATATTCTATTTGGGAGCACAAACCCAGAAATGTAGATGTTCTTGCCTTTCTTTACGTAAATAAAATTTTTGGATACGGTTATGGTACGTCTGAAACTCTAGATTTATTTTCAACACTAGGAAGGAAATCTGGAGGGGCACAGGATTGTACCTGTTATCTATTTTGTCATTTAGCTTCCTTTACAGATCTGAAATTACTCCCCTTCCCAGCTTTTACTTCTTTCTTCAGGGGAGGAGCTCTACCTGAAGAGCTATACAGACTTCCTTTACTGGCCTGTGCATGGTGATGGCTCCTAAAAGCTGTGGATTGAAAAGGAGATGTTAGGTTTTTTCCCTTTTTTGTCCAGCTTTCTCTGTGCTGTACTTTGTATATAGTGTCCTTGTGCAGTGCGTCTAGGTTAATGTCCTGTTTGCCCAGTGTTGTAGTTTGGCTTGTTAAATAGTTTCTCTCTAATATCTACAAACAATATTGATTTTTTTCCCCCTGCTCTTCTATGTCTTTAGAGGAGTTTAATTGATTAAACAAGTCAGATAGCAAGCTATGGCACATGTTTTTAAGTTTATATGGAAGTTGCACCTAAAACTTCCCTTTTTGTGGAAAACCATGCTAGCAGAAGTCAGAAGAGGTTGCTCCATGAACTGTAGAAGCAGTGATGGCCAGAGCAGGTTACCAGAGAATAAAACATTCTGGAGCGCCTCTATACTGCTACATTGATTCTCGTCTCCTGTCATTGCCCTGGTTGTACAGCGAAATTGGTCTTGGCTGGAAACTGACTTGGTCCCTTCCTTCACCTTGAGCAGAAGCAGTGCTGTTAGGGCACTGCTGCATCATTTGGGAGGCAGGGTCTGTTTCTTAATGCAGTGCACAATTTGGAGCACCTGCTGACAGCAGAGCTTCAGCTCCAGCAGTGGACAAAACCCTAAAGATGGGAAGTTTCAGCTAGTAGTAAGCTAAGTTTTAAGAAGTCAAGCAGTGATTTGGTCAGTATGGAAATGTTTAGTTCTGTTGTTTTCCTTCCTTTTCCTGTGATTCTGTTGCCTCTTCTCAGTAGAAGAAATCTAGGTTATTTCTTCCATGCTTCTCTTACACTCTCATACCCATTGTAGAGCAGGACTTTGCTTTTAGCTCTGAGCACTTTTCAGACTTGTAGCACTGTTATCTATCCCCTTTCTTCTCAATTTCTTTGCTGTCTGGTTTCTTTGGAGCCATATTTTCTCCTGTTTGTCCATACTTTCCTTTCTCTCCTTCTGTGGCTTGCCCACTCTCCCTCCCTGATTGTGTAACAGTGACAGCTTGCTGCCTCAAAACAGAGCATTCAAATGAATTCGCTTAGCCAATAACTTCTGTGAAGTTGCCTTTTCTAATGGTGTTATTACTCAGTGATGCACAAATGTGATATTGCCCCTACTGGTAGGCAAACGGGGGATCTGTATAAACATGGTAAACTGCTGTTTTTCTTTAAAGGAGAGCCAAAGACTTGTGCTTTACACTTTTTTTTTTTTTTTTTTTCCCCCGGTGTAGCCGTTCCAATTGTCAAATCTTGGTAGGATTTTGTGAGTTGACTGTATTATTCTAATAGAAATTTACAGAAGTTAATGATTGTCAAGCCTTATCCATGCATTGAGTGGTGGAAGATCATTCTGTTTAGTCATAAAACTTGCAATGTATTGAGATGTATACTAACATGTTTTCATTCTCTTGTGTGGTCTCCCAGCTGATGAAGTGGCTCATTTAGAGAGGGAGAAGGAACTTAGAAATTTATGTAATCAAAGAAGCCTGTTTGTGTGTTTAAATCTAAATTGACTTGAATACTGATTTTAAAATTTCTTCAATTATAGTAAAAGATAAATCTTTGTTGCAAATGTGACTCTTGACTTCTAAGCCCATTAGAACTGAAAAGACTTACCAAACTGTGGCTTTACATTAAATTAGATGTAAAAGAAGCACACTTGTATGATGCCATTGTCTGAGAGTAAGAATCAAGTGAGGCAACTCTTTTACTGGGAAGGACTAGGAGGGAGGCTTTTCACTGATACCACAAAGTTTCCCATCCTCGATCTAACTTGAGTTCTTGCAGAATACTATTTAAAGTTGAGTGAAATCTACAAAAGTAACATAAACCCTTAGCTTTTTCATCACCATTTACAAGTCTGAACAATAATGAACTAAGCCACAGGATAGCTTTCTGAAGAGCCCCAACAAAAGGTGTTTAGTTGAGTATCCATTTTAGACCACTGGTAGGATCCAAGAAATAACGTGCTAAAAATCAGGAGGCTCAACAGCAAGACTGCAAACTCATTTTCTCTGCTCAACAAAGGGGAAAAATGGTACTCGTAAAAGAAGCTTGTGAATTTGTGTGTATAACAAAGTATTTATAGTCCTAGAGTAGTCAGAATGGGTGCAGAACGAGACTGCATGGGGGTGATATCACTTTAATATTTAGATATTTTCCTCCTGAGTCCCATGTTCAAAACGCACACTTTCATC